AGTGTTATTGAAGTCAGAATATAAGTCCATACACCGCTGGCTAGCTCACACTGTGTGTGCTATGATGCTTCTGTGGCAGATAGTTTAAGTACTTTCTGTGTACCAGCTTCTCCATGCTCTTTTGCCTATTGTCCCACTGAGGTCCCAGTAATTCACCCCCCCCCCCCCCCCGCAATAAACAGTGGACCTGACCTTTGAGCCTCAATTGCCTGAGACCAGTTATAAATGCCAGATTGTGGAAGCTATTTTTCATATTCATGGTAACGTCACAGTGCTAAGACAGCTTGGCCTGAAAAGGGTTTCTTTTTATAATTGAATACAGGATGAGTAAATACAGAATAAAACGATTTGAAGAAGTGTTCAGCTCAGAAAGGCTCTTCTCTTGGAAAGGAGTTAAGTGAGTATTATCTACGAATTCTTATGAAACTTTTTTAAAAAAAAATAGATGAGGTGTTGGGGGTGGATCCCAGAGCCTGAGACCCTTCGCTGAATGGTGGTCCTAGCTCAAATCCATTGTTGTTCAAAGGTGGTTGCCATATGGTCAGGCCCGTGTCCTGTGTTACTTGGTACCATGCTTGCTTGATGGTCACTGTGGGAACCGACAGATAGGAAACTTAGAACCAGCCACAATGAACAAATCAGTCTATGACTCTGCCTGTTCACGGTGGGTGTGGCATTGTCTGCACTGTCCCAACTGTTAGACATTTAGCAACCCACTTTGTCAGGGTGCTTTTCTGGGTCTTTTTGTTTTGCTTTTGCAGACAGGGTCTTGCTATGTTGTCCACGCGGTGGCAAACTCCTGAGTTGGGACTGTAGGCTCATGCCACTGTGTGCATCGTGAAGTACTTTCTCATTTGATCCAAATGTATTGGTACCATTTTACAAAGGTCACTCTGATAGGTATGATATCCTGGCACTTGGCGCCAAGTGTGTCAAATGTTCTGTAACACTCTCTGACTTCCTAGTTCATCAGCCTTAACCTTTCGAAGAGAGCAGCCTAGCCCTTAGTCTGGTTATTGGATACCCACATCCCCAAATGAGGCCATAAGCAGGGGCCATAAGCAGGGGCACTCTGGACCTATTCTGTGTTGTCTGCCAGTACAACTTCTGGGACTGTGTGCTCTGCTCTAGTCCACACAGTGGAGGGAACCTCTTCTTTTTAGTCCTGTCCCTCTGTGGTCCCACAACTCTGCTGATGGCGATACAGTGAGACCCTCACTGTAAGGAGCTGGTGGTGAAAGTAGCATGGGTTTTTCACCAGTACCCCTCTTTCATAGCCATGCTGCGGCACAGGGTAGTCTCCAGCAATACCTTCCTTTGTCTAGCCAAGGGACTGATGTCCCTGAGTGACTTCTGTGGAACTGTAGTGCTTCAGACATGCTTGCCAGATTTCAGGTCACTTCAGTTCCCTATACCAGAAACTGGTTACATTTTAACCAGTTTGCTGACAAGTACCTTTCCCATACCCAGCTGCTATTTGCACAGGACATAAAAGCGTTATTTTTGTATGAGTCCATTAAAATGTGACAAAGGCAGAGGCTAGCCATTCTTGACTTTACCATCTTGGTTGGGATTATCCAAGCATCCAGGTGATGTAGGCTTTCTGGTTATCACTACGCTTGCACAGGTGAGACACAGGCGCAGGAGCTTGCCCAAGGACATGCTTCTAACTGGATGCTGGTTTGAGGGGTTGTCTGACGTGTAGGATTTCCCACAAATTACAAGACAGTTCTTTCTTTCATTTGGAGCAACAGAAATAAGCCCAGCTTTACTGAATCTTGGATATAATACTATTGTTTTGCCAGTATTAACTCACAGTCAGTTTAGCCAGGATTAAGCTGCTCTTGGGCCTGCTTCCTCACTCTATGGATGTATAATGTTGTTTCCATGGGGACAGTGGGAAAAGCGGCTCCCACATGTGCCCAGTGGCCTGACCTTCTGCCCGCTCCTGTCTGCCTCAGTTTTGTGATGGTCAACAGCGTCGCCATGGAAGGGGATGGTTGTAGCATCTGCTCTGAAGCGGAAGCTGAACTCAGAGAGATTTCTCGTAAACTGAATTGCTCCCGAGAGGTAGGAGACCATGGGAACAGCATAGGCCTCTGCACTCGTGTCTTCCAGAGGTGCCAGAGTCGTGCCCTGGTTGTCAGTTGCCCAGCTCCCCATCCCTCTCCCCGAGGGCAAACACTGGGTTTGCTGGGTTAACAGGGTGACTTCTGACCAGCAGGTGCAAGGATCCAGCCAGTGTGAAGGTGAGCAGCGGCTCCCCTTTTCCGCCCCCGTGTTGCTGCAGGTGAGCTTGGGGAGGAAGCTAAATCCAGCCAACCACGCTACTGAGAGTATCACTGATCCACTTTAATCCCGGACAGCACTACCCGCTCTACCGGGCCAGTGATGCTAACTGTTCTGGTGAAGATGCCGCTCCTCCAGAGGAAAGGAATGTCCCCTTTAAGGAGAAATACGATGTTCTTTCTCAAGAGGCCTCACAAAAGGTGTGTGTGTGTGTGTGTGTGTGTGTGTGTGTGTGTATGTGTGTGTGGTGATGTGACCGCATGCCCGTGTCACATGGGGACAGCGGGATGAACACACAGGGCTTTTGTGGTTACTAGCTTCATGAAGGGGAGGGCTTGGACACCATTTCAGATTTCAGCTCAATCGCTTTGTTCCTTTTCTCTTTGGTAGATCCACTATTTTTCCTAATCTCAATTAAAATTATATTCTCGACTAATCTTTACACTAAACATTTTTAAGTCAACTTAAATGAATTGAGTGTAACCGAAATTTAGAGCCTAATTTGGGGTGATTTAATTAGAAATGCACTTTCTTAGATATATATGTACACATAAACTATAGCATTTATGTATAATGTAGAAATATATTAAAATGTAAATTTATAAATGCTAAATGTAAATATAAATTTATATTTCAAATATAAATATATTTGTGGAAAATATTTATGAAATAAATTTATAAAAATAAAGTAATAATATACAAGTCTGTGATAGGAAGAGTGGGTTCTAAGGTTTACTAGGAATAGGGAATCTGGGGAAAAACAAGCGTGCCCTACCTATTAAGGATTATCGTTATTTGAATGGGATGAGTGGCCCTGTCAGCGACCCTGGCGAAGCCATGGGTGTATCAGTGCCAGTCTGAGCATTAACTCCCTGCCTCTTCTTTGCTGCCAGCTGATGTGGTGGCTCCAGCCTCGCCTGGTCCTGAGTGGCCACACACACAGCGCCTGTGAGGTGCTCCACCCGGGAGGAGTGCTCGAGGTGAGCGTCCCGTCCTTCAGTTGGAGGAACAGAAACAACCCCAGCTTCATCATGGTAACGTAAACCTTTATTTTTATCTGAAAGCTTTCTGGAGTATTGAGATCAACACAGGAATCAACTATTTAACGGCTGCAATCTGTAAAAACATACAAAAGCCAGAAATCAATCGCCCTCCTTGTACTCTGAGTTGTATACACCCCCTGTCTGTAATCACCTGTCTAGGGACACACAGGCAGATCATGGCTTCAGAGGGACTCTGAAGAGCATCTGCCAGAATTTTATCTCGAGAGCAGAGGTGAAGTTCAACAAGTGCCAGTTTGTTTCCAAGGAAACGGTGTCTATACATTAGTAGACTTTGTCACCTCTCATTTCCTAAGTGTGCCAGGCGCACGCTGCTGCCGAATCCCCAAGCTGGGCAAAGGTACTGACTCAGTGAAACACCGCCTTTGTAACCATGGGTCTTGCACTCAGCCTCATGCTGCTGTTCTATGGTTCTACCTAGAAAAAGGTTGGGGCCCCATGTGTTTTCAAGTTCAAGTAAGTGAAAACATTTGCTGCCTTGATTCCACATTGCGAACTGTGGAGAGGCAGGGGTACTTCTGGGCGACAGTAACTGCTCTGCTATCAGATGGCAGGGACACTCTGTCCTCTTGTTCCTCTGGGACTGATGCCTCTCCGTCTCCCTTCAGGGCTACTCTACTATGTGACCTTCCCGAGCCAGCAGAGCTTTGGTGTCTTTCTTTTGCTAGTACCTCTGTGGCCGGTGGTGACTTGTTATGCCCAAAGCTCCTTGGTCCTGAATGAAGAGGGCTCTTCCCTCCCGAACCCACCCGTGGGGGCCTAGAAGACAGCCTCTAAGTCAGATTGCTGTGCCTGGGACTCACCCTTGGGACTCACTCATCAACTCTCTATTTCTTCCCCAGGGAAGTCTGACATCCAGAGACTACGCTCTCTCCAAGTGCTACCTCCCATTTGAGGACAGGGTGCTGACCACCTATGGCGCGGCGGTTAGCTTCCTTGTGCTCCTCGTCTTAGCTCACTTTGAACGCTTGCCCTCCTCTCTTCTGTCTGGTTGGAAGCGGTGGAGAATGCACATGAGAAGATGATGAAGCCGGTGATTGTTGCCTCTTGGTAATATAAATCAACACCAAAGGCATAGGACTTGTGGGGGGGCTCATGTGAGCCGCGGAGGTGAGCAAACAGTAGTGATTGTCCTTGTGCGCATCATGGGAATTCCAAATCATCCACGCCAGTGGCTGCAGAGTAAACGGCTGCCTGTCCTGCTCTCATGCTATGAAAATGGAACATGTACTCGATAACAAGTCTGTCTTTTTGTTTTATCAAATATATGTAGAATCAAAGGTTGCATCTGTACAGTATATAAATGTCATGGACACTGTCACTTGCATGCACAACACACAGCCCTTGCTTCCCCAGAAAGGACCCGGCAGTCTTGGTGGACGTTGGAGGCTTCGTGTATACCGAAGAGTTGGATTTTCTCTGTCCCTCTCTGCAGTGGCTCTTAATTTCTCATAGATCATGAAGTTGTATGCTCAAAAGGACAGATTCAATGTGCAGGAACTTGTTTCTGTGCTGATGGAACCAGATTTTTAGTTAAGTGTGATTTTTCTCTTTAGGAGAAAAACCTGTCACATCTGATTCAATGCCTGTTGGTGATTCAAACTTCAAAAATGGAGGACCTGGATGTTTGAATTTGAAAATAAAGCATATTTTTTTTTTCCTAAAGGAGTCTGGATCTTTATAATGATCAAATTTTGTTTATTTATATTTCTTCTATTCTGATTGAACTCAGGGCTTCTGCATGCTGAGTGTGTGCTTTGTCAGAGTTATACATTCAGCCCCTAGAACACTTTTAAATAGTTCTTTAGTAACAGGGAACTGTTAGTGGTATAAAACTTCACGTGTATGTGTGTGTGTGTGTGTGTGAGCTTTTCTTCTTGCTTGGAACATGCAGGGGAACTGAAAGTCACTTTCCTGTCATGTGTGGGCTCAGCCGGAAGTTTGTGCAGCAGTGGAGAGTGGCACAGTGGCGAGGAGCCGAGGAGCGTGCTGTCGCAACCGAGGCTGCCATCCTTTCCCAGAAGAGCATCTCAGCCACGACGAGTGTACAAAGCATTACGCAATGCTGACTTCAAGTGGAATAAACTTCAGACAACAATAAGTAGATGAATAAGTAAAGTAACACAGGCGGTCACTCCTGTGTGTTTGTACTGTTGAATATTTAACCTAGGACATCTTTACAGAAAACTCTAAGCCTAAGAGAACTATTCCCAGAAGACTTGGCCATAGGTAGCGCCAACGGTGCCCTGATGCAGCCGCTGTTATGTTCTAGGCGTTCCTACCATAACTCGAGGTTGCGGCTGCAGATCTCACACGTGGGGAGCAGCCATTCAGTCTGTCTTTATATTTAAAACAAAGGTTTTTGTGGGGCTGGCGTTATGGCTGTGGATAAGGATTAGCAGTAGAGTGCTTGCCTAGCATGCTCCAGGTGCTGGGCTCCTCCCTAGCAATGCAGATAGATAGATACTAAGTAAATAGCTTTGTAGTATTTCGTCTTCAGAAGGTGCTGTCCTTCCTGCCCTCACTCCGCTACAACATTGACGCTACTTTGCTTTCCTCTGGTCACCTGTTTATCATAAGATGGGACTGTATCTAGAACTTAACGAGGAGGCGGTAGGCCTGCTCCTGCCTAGGGAACCTGAAGGAGTCTTCAGAAACATTTCATCTGTGTGGGGCGGGTAGGGGGAGGGGGAGAGAAAACCCTTAGTACCCTAAAAAAAAAAAAGTAGCTTCTAATTTATGCCTTGGAATCGGGTGGTCCCAGTGTTTGCAGCAGCTGAGATTCAGAGCAGTGAAAGCAGGCGGCTGCGACAGTTCCAGTGTCGGGATGGCACTGCTGGTCAAGTAGATGATTCTGTAACGATCGTCCATAAATACCAACCTGATAAAAAATATCCCAAGATGAACAGATCCCACCGATTCGCCACTGTGTCTGCAGCAGGTTGTGCGGACCGCAAGCTGCTTGGCACAGCTGGGACATATTTCCTTACAGGTGGGGCCATCACCAAGGCACAGAAAGCTACAAGGAGGTTTTGTTAGGAGTCATACAAAAGAGTATTACATTGTGCGGGTCTGTACAGTCTAGTAAAGCAACAACAAAGAGAAACTAGGAAAGACCATGCCCAACTATCATCAGGAAGGTGTAGGGGACACCGTCATGTACAGACAGGACACAGTTTGCAGTAGTGAATGGGGCAGCTTTTCTGCCTAAATTTAAGAGGCTCCGAGAGGCCCTCTACTTACTGCAACCGTGGCCGGAAAGAATTCCTCTTGCTCTGTGGCTGGCTTGAGTCTACTCTAAGCATTGGGCCAGCGCAGATCAGAAGGGGCAGCTACCTGCTAGCCAGAAAGAGCCGCAGTCCATGGTGATCATGCTTGATAATTTGAAACAATGTATTTCTCCGATTTACCACGCTGCCTTCGATGAGTTAGCCCCTCGACCAATCAAAGAATCGATAGGTTCCCACTCAGACGGGTCACTGCAGTATCCCCCACGTGAGAGTTGGTGGCTTTGCAGTGATACAGATTGGTGGTGGGAGGCTGTGCAGTCCGGTGAAAAACAAAAGCTACAGAAACCAAACCTGGGGGACAGAGGTAGCCAGAGGCTTGGTGGTCACACATAGGCATACCTAGGACAGGACAGGTGGCAGCCCCGTGACACTAAAACACTCACTACGCCCTACCATGGCTCGGGGTGGACAGACACGCAGGCTGGGGAGATACACCGCCTCCTGGGGTGGCCAAGAGGAAGGAGAGGCGGCAGTGAGGAGGAGGGGTAGGCAGTCCTCACAAGAGTTCGTACTGCTTCAGGTGCATCCTCTGGATGATGTCACGACAGTCGTTGAACACTCTGCGGATGTTCTCCGTGTCCACGGCGCAGGTGAAGTGGGGGTAGCAGTAATGTTTGCCATCGCCTGTGGCTGTACTGATCCTCTGTGGAGAAGAAGGTTGTGCTCAGGACAACAGGGCCCCAGTGCCATCAAATGGGAGGACAGCTTAAGGACCGGATAGAGAGGCTAGAGAGGACTTTGACTGACTGGCTTCCCCAAACTGCTCAGGTACCAAGCATGCCCCAGGAGAGAGTTAAACATCCCTTAGCCACAGGCACTGAATCTGAGCTGAGGCAGGCTTTGGAGAGGGCAAGACAGGCCAAGATTTCCCGAATAGAAATTTCCAGCATCTATGTTTGTCTATGTTGCCCTGGTGGACAGAAGTCTGCTTGCAGAAATATATTCTGCCTGGATATGTGGTAGTTACGGCAACTAGTGCATGCCGTTGAGGTGGGGGCAGAAGCTTGTCTCTAACTCAGTTTTAATTCATTTATATTTACTTTGTGGAAGGGTCTAGCAATACTGCCCACACCAACCTTGAACTCCAGAACTATAGCCATCCTCCTGCCTCACCATGCAACTCCTGTGCCACCTGATGCAACAAATTTATTTAAGAGTCCCACATGTGATGGGTTGTATCTCAGTTATGCATTCTCCACACAGGTGATCTAGCTGTCAGTGGACTGTTGCCGAGTGTGTGTGTGTGTGTGTGTGTGTGTGTGTGTGTTGGAAAAAAGTTCTTTGCTGTCAACGGTGGGAAGCACAAGGTTAAACATGGTCCACCTGGGACAGAGAAAGGTTGGGCTGAACTGTATTTCCAAAGTTATGTGTTGGATCTGAACTCTCCAGGGCCTCAGGATATATGTCTGCATATCTTTATGATATGATATGACAGGATCTTCAAAGAGACAGTTATGGTTAAATAAAGTCTTTAGCTTGAGCTTGAGTACAACACAGCTGTCCTGTAAGGTGTCCCTGTAAGGGGAGGAGGTCAGGACACAGGCATGGAGACGCTGATCACGGGGATGCTGTCCATGAGCTGAGAAGAACAACCTCAGGATTAGGTCCTTTTTTTGGCACCTGACTTCAAACTTCAGCATCCAGAGCTCTGAGGAAGCATTTCCATTGGCTAGGCCTCTAGTCTGTGAGATGTTGGGGTCTACGGGATGTCGCTTTGGCAGCCCCCAAAGCCCCAACAGAATCATACATACTTTCTAGCTACAGGTGATCCCTGGAAGCATCCCAGGGCCTCCTGACCAATATCTTTCATCTGCAAAGTATCTTGGGACACAGCCTTTAGGGAGCTCTTAGGACCACATCAAGGGTCTTGAGGAAATGTTCATCTGGTTATAAAACTCCTGAGAGGGGTCAGGAGGGATGTTAGCTTCCCTTGTGAGTCTGTTTGTTGCTGGGGATGGAATCCAAAACATCAACCATTGCAAGGTAGGCAAAGTACCCTACCACTGAGCTATTGCTCTGGCCCAGTTTTTTATTTTCAAGCTTAAGGACATTGAAATGAATGCCTGCTCACATGCACCTCTAATCCCAGAAGTGTAGAGGTAGGAGGATGTAAGTTAGTGGCCAGCCTGGGCTACGCAGTGATTCTGAGGCCAGCCCGAGCTACACATACTGTCTTAAAAAAAAATCAAGGACTGGGATATAGCTCAGTGGTATAAATGTATATCCTGGGGGAAAAACCCAATAAACCAAAAAACGGGCATGACAAGCATGGCAAGTTGATAGAGGGAGGGGGCAGTATTTGGGCAAGTTCATTTTCATGCCAACCTGCTGGTGCTTTTGCGTGGAGGAAGCAGACACCAAGGATTGAATGTATGCACATTAGACCCTGCAGGACTTGCTCCTGTTTGGGAGACACATGTGTGAACAGAGTGTGACCCTGTCACCTGCTCCTCCCTCCAGTACCTGGGTGAGAGATGTAACCTCTCTCACGTCAATGTGCAGAGGCACGAGAGACAACTGCTTCCCTCTTGGCTCAGGACTTAGGGAGACAGTGAGACCATGAAGGGCTAGTTAGCAAGCCGCAGAGAGCAAGGTTATTAACTGTAAGGTAGACATCACAAGGGCAACAGAATTGCTTACCAAAAACAGATCTCGGATAAAGAACTTGGCTCTCGTAACTTTGGGATCTTCTCCCGCATCCGGTGTTGCTGTTGAAATCAAAAATGGAATTTCATTTAACTGACGGGAAGCAAAGATACAGAAGAATGGCAACGCAGAAGGAATTAACTACACAGGGCTCTGTATGTTCATGGCATTAACATTCATTAATTTCCCTTCTCCCAAAGCGTTTTAATTCTCATGGAGCTCTGAGAAAATGTCGCTCGTCCTCTGGTCTGGGCGCTGTGTCTACTCACAGTCTCCCTCATCAGAGTGTCACCCAGGGGGATGGCTCCACTGTAAGGGGCTCTGCCACGATGAGGGGGACACACCACTCATCTACAGGAGCCTGAAGGAGACTGGTGTCTTCCACCGGCTGAGAACACAGAACTCACAGAAGAGAGAGCTGGCCTCCACAGACTCCAACTCTGCTGGGGCCTTGATTCTGGATTTCTCAGCCTCCAGATCACTTTGTTTACCAATCACCCTGCCTAAGGAATTTTGTTATGGGAACCTAGACAGACAGGTTATGGCAAGTAACACCTGTTCCAGAAATCATCTAACTGGATTTTTAAAATCAGCCTTGTAGGAGGACTCTCTTCAGGCTACTGCACAGACTCGGGTTGGGGGTCCTGGGAAGTCCAATGCAGCGGACCCTCTGGCTATCCACCCAAGTATGTCCTGGAACCTCAGGGTCTGGTGACGTCTTCACCTTTGGAGATACTCTGGTCATTCATTGACTGGGAACTGGGCACTCGTTTTACGAAGGGATAACTTATAGACCCTTAACTGTACATATTTCAAATGTACACTTTGATACATTTCAACATGTATTGGCTTATCAGATTATCACTATGAACAAAATAATGAGCGATCAAAATAGTATTCAACGCTATTGGAAGTGCCCCCATTTTCTTCTGCAGCCCTCTCTTTTCTGTTCCCAACCAAGCAAGTATGATTCTGGCACTACAGTCTGTTTATTTCCTATACTTTCCACAGCCTGAAGTCCTCTTGGCTCAGATTCTTTCATCCACGCTGCACGGATCCACACTCCCTTGCTTTTCTTGCTGGCTGCGTCCGAGTTGAGGATCACCAAGCAGGATGGTGAGTCTGGACTACTAGCAGTGTCACTAACCATGCCAGGGAGTGATGGGTGCCCTGGAGTCACAGACGAACCGAACACACGGTACTGGGTGAGCACTAGTCATTGGGCCTGGCTCTGTGGCTGGAACCAAGGTCCCTTCAGCTGTCACAGTGAATCCCTTTGGTGTTCCTTCGCTGGGAAGCTCCACTTCCAAGGGCAGAGTGCATGCCACTGGGGTGGTGCTCTTTAACGGGGCATAAAGGAGTGTTTGTGTTTTGGAAAGATGGCTGTGCCAAAAACCCAAGTGCTCAAGCAAACATGCATGCATGCATGCGTGAAGAATGTATGCACACACACACACACACACACATATGCATAGCCAAGGAGGCTAAGCTGGAAGATGGAAGTCACTGAACAGAGTGAGGTCAGAACCACACCTGGAGAAGTAATGCATGGAGGAGGGGCCACAGCACTCAGTTGCTGGCTGGCCTAGGGGGCAGTGAGAGACAGGAAGTATCTGGGCAGAGGGGCAAGGCAATCTCCTGGGAAGACAGAGAAGCAACTGAAGCCACACCTCAGCTTTTCCCGGAGCCCTGGCTCAGCCTGGAACAGCAACTACCCAGACTGTGTGGTGAGATCTGAGAATGCTCTGACTTCCAAAGGGCCTGTAGCAGAGTGTGGTGGTGTGCTTCTCTAATCCCAGTACTGGGGAGAGAAGGGCGGGCAGGTGTGTGTGTTTTCTCTATGAGTTCAAGGACATTCTGGTCCACGTAATGAATTCCAGGCCTGCCTGAATTATATAAGACACTGTCTCAAACCAAACCAAACCAAACCAAACCAAGAACAAACCTCCAAATTAACTAACCAGCCACACCAAACAGAAACAAATGGCAGCAGTCAGGGCTGGTTACTAATTTAACAGCGTATGCTCTGGGCACACAGGATGCCTGAGTTACTAACAAAGGAGAGGCTGTCAGAGGGTACAGGAACTGCACCCCAGACCCTCTCCCCGTATCTGCTGATTCTCATGAGGGCTGGGCCCATGTCATTCAGGATTTTCCTAGGACTGCACTAAAGCCAGGACTTGGGATAATGGGTGGAGAAGACGAAAGGGAACCTAAAGAGGGAAGAAGTCTGAGGTTTTTCTGTCCTTGGCAGTAGTAAGACATGCGGTCCCAACTCCAGCTCTAGATTCCAGAAACACCCCTTTCATTTGGCTTTATCTAGCTCGTGGGCTAGATAAATAATTGGTCTAACTTTTCCTTTTAGCAAATCACTCATAGAAATGCCCAGTGGCCCAACGCACACTGCAAACTAAGCACAGGAGGGACATGGATGACAAGATCTGGTTTACCTTCCTCATCTTAGCACTGGGCCCGCTCTCTCGGGAGGCTGGTATAGCTGGTTACCCAGCGGGGCCCACCAGTGTGGTTACCAGGGCCATGTAAGCCCCAGGAGTGGATGACAGCACAGGCTCGGACACCAGGCCTGTCTGACCTTCCTAGCTCCACTTATGTGGCCTGGAACAGGATGTATCCATCACCTCTTATTCTAAGGCAGTGCTTTCCAGCTTTCCTAATGCTGCGACCCTTTAACACAGTTCTTCATGTTGTGGTGACTCCCAACCATAAAACTATTTCACTGTTACTCCATAACTATAATTTTGCTACTGTTATAAATTGTGATGCAAATATCTGATATGCAACCCAAGGGGTCACAATGCACAGGTTGAGAATCACTGTTCTATGGAGAAAAATAAAAGAAGTCACCACCCATGGTTACTGTATGGGGTCTGAATGATGTCTTTGGTCCCCAAAGACCCAGCTGGTGGTATGAGAGAACTTATCCAGTATGACACAGTCACACCCTTCCTTACATGGCTCATCTTTAACAGAAAATCAAGCTTTGAACCATTTATAAGAAAAATCCCAAGTAGGACATTTGAATACCGACTAAGCATCCCTATTCCGAATAAATAAAATCTCAGCTATCCCACCTCTGCTAACCTTCACGTACTGACGTCATACCACAGATAGAAACGGCCCCAATGGCTTCATGCCACAGGTCAGTCAAAACCCTCAGGCTATGGATTTGAGGTACAAAGAAATATATTCCAACATTCAGAGAGCTTTGTCTTTAATGAAATAGAGTCACATCTCCCAGATAAGCAAACATTCCAAAATTCAAAAAAATCTTAGCTCAACACTTGCAGTCCTGAGCATTTTGGATAGGGCTACTCATCCCATACCCTAGTGCTTTGGGGATGCATAGAGAGGATGTTTTAAACTGAGGCAGTTTCTCAGATTCACCAGACATCTCTGATTTGCAGTTTATAGAATGATGAGAAAAGAACAGTTGGCTCCTGCAGCTGTAAGAGAGACTGTGTTTTGAAATCTTACCATCTTCGGGGACAGTGTAATTGGCATACTCTGGGAAATAGTCTTCAATTTTTGATTTCCCTGCCAAGACTTTTTCTGCCAGCATATCTTGTTTGTTCAAGAACAAGATGATAGAAATGGTCCGTAACCACCTAGAAAGAACACAAATCCACACCAGTTTCACGACACTAGCATATGAAAGTACCAGTCACCATGACACTGCCAGACTAACTGGGACTCTGATGATGCCGCTTAGTGGCAGGTGCTTGCCCGGTCTGAGACCCTGATGTCACCCCCTACCTCAGCTCTGCAAGGTAGGCCAACAAAGAGGTGGGAGGGGAGTGGGCCAACACTGGCATTCTCTGGAAACTGACTCACTATCACTTGGTATACCAATGCTCTCACTCTCTGTACCAATCAATGGCAAAGCCTTCCGGAATGTAGCATTTCACTCTTTTTGATGAACTCTGTGGGGACTACACTTATCAGTAACAGAGCAGAACTCTAAGCATTCAGTGAATACACTTGGACTTTTGTGGTATAATTTTGGGGTCCAATGGACCAGAAAACTCCAATGGGAGAATGTTACTGAAGTACCAAAAGGCTCATTAGCCAATCACTGGGAGCTTAGTTAGCAGCCTGTCTTCTTCTGTTTTCTCTCCTCCTAGCACAGGGGGACAAGGGGGCATAACTAGGCTCCTCACATGTTATATGAGAAGCTAAAGGGGTGAGGCCCTGGAACAGAGGTGGTGAGGGTAAGAAAAGTTGGAGTAAAGACAAAAGGAACTTAGCTGCCACATCAACAAAGCCCTCTGACATCCCCAGAGGCCCAAGGGATCAGTCCATAGGACACTGACCACAAATGTAAATGTAATACATTCCCCCCGCAGATGCGTTAGTTTGGCTTTTTTTTTCTACTTTTGTAATTTTTGTAGCTTCTACACAAACAAGTTGAAGTTATAGAAAATACACATATAATCAAATTAATTATATCAAATGATAATTACTATGAGATTTTTATAATTTTATGCCTAGATTACTTTATTCTCATGCATATTTAGAAAGACAAGACTATAATTGCAACAATGTGGATGCTTCGCTGTGCGTGCTCTCTGACAACCATTCCGAAGAATGCACATTCTTCACACCTGGCGTTTCCTGGCCCTATTTCTTTCCCATTAACTCTGAAACCATAAAGGAGGATGGTAGTTGAACACTTGACAGAGAGATACTCATTCAACAATACAAACTGTATATTTTTAAATAAAATTTATTGCATGTGTATCAATGTTTTGTCTGCATATGTTATCAGTGCACCATGTGCATGCCTGGTACCCGCTGAGGCCAGAAGAGGATGTCAGATCCCCTGGGACTGGAGTTACAATGACCAGGATTGCCAGGTTGCCATCTGGCAGCCATGCTGGTTGTCATGTGAGTATAGAAATCTTCCAGGGTCCTGCTGAGGAGTAACTAGTACTCTTAGCCACGTAGCCATCTCTCTAGACTCATTCACTTCTGCCCCTTGGCATTCTGGAGTATCCTATGACTGTGCTATGGCTTTGAGCTGTTGGGATTGTAGGGCCCATCTAGTTATCTGTGAGCATTCTAAACTGGGTTCTTAAACAAACTGTCAATCCGGACAGAGGCATATACCTGTAATCCTAGTAAATCAGGAGGCTGAGGCTAGAGGATTGAGTTTAAGGCCAGCTTGGGTAATATAGGGAGACGTTAGGTCAAAACAAGCAAACAAAACTTTGAATTCTGATATAATGTGAGACTTTTATGGCAGATTTAAAAAGCCCTAACCAGGGGGATGGAGAGATGGCTCAGAGGTTAAGAGCATTGCCTGCTCTTCCATAGGTCCTGAGTTCAATTCCCAGCAACCACGTGGTGGCTCACAACCAATTGTAATGGGGTCTGGTGCCCTCTTCTGGCCTGCAGGCATACACACAGACAGAATGTTGTATACATAAAAAAAAAAAAAAAGCCCTAACCAAGCACCTATAAGAGCTCCATCAAAGAAGAGTTCCCATGTTAAGTATGTCTATCAGATGGAATGAAAAGCTTATTAAAGTTGAGTATTTACGTGTGTGTGTGTGTGTGTGTGTGTGTGTGTGTGTGTGTATGCACACATGTGTGTGTGGGACCTAGTGGAAGCCAGAGGCTGATATATAAATTTTTCTCAAAATCATTCTGTACAGGCTGGGTCTCTTTTTTGAGCCTGGAGTTGGCCATTTTGGCTAGGCTGGTTTGCCAGAGCCCTGAGGATCTGCTTGCCTCTGCCTCCCTATTTTTAGGTTACAGGTGTTCATGGTGATGTTCAGCTTTTGTGTGTGTGTGTGGGGGGGTGGGTGCTGGAGATCCAAATTCAAGTCCTTGTGCTTACATGTCATGCTCTTCACCCACGGAACCATCTCCTTGCCCTCACTTTTTTTTTTTTTTTTTTTTTTTTTTTGTCTATGAGGTCTAACTACATAGCCCAGACTGGCCTTGAACTCGGCACCTCTTGATTTAGCCTTCCTAATGTTAGGAGCACAGGTGTGTGCAAACACACTTGGTTAAAGAGGGTATTTTTAACAACAACAACGAAAGCATTTGTAGTCTTCTGCATGTATTTTAATAAAACGATCTGCGATCCAGTGGTGGGGTGTATTTGTCACCTGTTATTCCAGATGCTTTCGAACAGGTCCAGGGACTCCCTCAGTCTGTTGGTGTTGTTGTCCTCCCGGATCACCATGTTGTAGCTACTGCAGGCTGCCACGTAAATGATGGCAGTGACATCTGAGATGGGCAGAGAGGGAAGGGAAGCACTTTAGATGGACAATGCTGGCTTCTCTGGGATTAGGACTGCGCAGGTCTCAGGCACTGTCATTTGGGGATCGTGTCTGGAACAACTTGAATATAGGTTATGTACACAACGGGGCATTGCTGCCAAAAGGTAACTGGAAACGTGGGGTGATTAAATTCTCCATGAGATTCACATTTAAGGAAGGACCATGACTATTTACTTCACATGTATGTTTACCATGTTATACTTTACATAGAGATTAGAGTTTGATTAAAACACAGCTAGACACAGAGTGGGAGTCAGCACCAGCTCTCTCCGGAACATGCAAATCACCATTAAAGCACTGGATCCATTTTCTTCTCTCATCCCTCTGGCCGCCAACATCAAACATGCTGTGGAGGAGAAATAGAGAAGCCAGTTATTCAGGGAAACTGGGGTAAGGAGCACATGCCTTTACCCTTCTCCCTTGCTGTCAGAATGGTCAGCTGCTCATGAGGACCCTCTGGATCTCGGCCCTTGTCTTTGAGCTGCAGGGCATGCGGCCTCCCCCAACTTCAGTTCTTCCTCTTTCACGCTGCACTGTGGGTGTAGGAGTTAAGAGCAAGGCAGAAAGCTGCTGGCCCGGTGTCTAGGGACATACAGTAGGTGCCTAATAGATGCCATGGTTCCTAGTTCATAGCACACCTTGTACCAGGTGCATGCTAAGTCTGTGCTGGGGCAGATCCTCTGATAACGTGTCTCAGCTTCAAAGATGCCTCCCCTGGGGAAGTGTGGGGCTTCCTTCTGATCCAGCTCTGTCCACAGCCCTCTAGTCACCAGTGCCTGGCAGGAGGACTCTGTCACCTACATTCAGGCAGATGATACAGCCCTCCCTCAGGCTCTCCAGTTGTCTGGCTCAAGTTCCCACACAGTTTCTCTGCTGCGCATCAGATGGACCCTGGCCTCTATCTCCCTCCCTCCTGCTCAGTGCTCCCCTTTCCTGGAGCTGTGTCTCCGTGTGGGTGAGCTTCTCAGTGCCCTTGCTGGAGTCCGTCCTCACACAGCCTGCCCTGAATCCCAATTCCAGCTCCTGGAGCCTCAAGGCTTTATGGCTCCCATTGTGGCCAGAGGCTGGCACCAGGCTGGGCCTCCCACGTCTGTCCCTGTCACAGGAGACTCTTAGCAATGTACTCACTGAAAGTTCACTTTGTCTACTTGGAATCGTGTCTCAAAGATTCCCGAAGTCAGCACTCTGCATCTGAGGAGGTCCTGGGGCAAGAAGAGAGAACGTGTGTCCTGACATAAGTGTGGCCACTGAGAAATGAGAAGCTCTGATTTACAAAAAGGAGTAATTAAAATGCAGATGTAGAAAACCTCCACTGTTAAATCAATTTGGCTCTGCATACTGTAACCGTGTTTTCGAGACAGGGTTTCTCTTTGTAGCCTTGGCTGTACTGGAGTTCATTCTGTAGACCAGGCTCAAACTCACAGAGATTCACCTGCCTCTGTATCTCAAGTGCTGGGATTAAAGGCGTCTGCCAAGACCAACCTGACACCTCTCAGGACTTTTAAAAAGTGATTCATGGCCACATCTTGCTGTTATATGACAGTCAAACCTCAGTACACAGCGTTCAGGGACAAAGTCTTGACCTATGTTCTGTGGCTACACCTGGAAGTCCCTACTGGGATGGGTCAGTAGAAAGCTTAACTCTCATTCATAAGTCAGGGACCTCAGGGCTGGAAGCTACTTCACTTTAGTAGGATTGCTGTCACTTCCTTGCCTAGTTCAGCTCTCTCCAAGTTGATATGGTCCCAAGGGCACAGGAAAGCTACAGTTTCACACAGCTGACATCACCCTGTCCTGGGCAGCTGTCATTATGCTGTTTATGAATCAGCCATCCTGGAAGACAATCGAAGTTTCTGCTGTTTTATAATCACATCATCAATCTGTGTATGTTCTCTTTGAGGCTCCTTCCTGATGTTAGAGAGCCAAGCTACACCGTGGGATATGTTTATATTAGCATATTAATTATATGGTATGATATTTTCATACTTGTATAGAATCTATTTTAAGCATGTTCCCTTTTCTCCTATTACTCTCTTCCTCCTTCTGATGCCACTTCTGCCTTCCAACTAGTCCCTTCTAGTTTCACTTTGTGTGTGAGAGAGGGTGTGTGTGTGAGACTCAATGAGTTTAATCAGGGTTGCTTACAGGAACATGGGTGAAGGGTTATTTACAGGAGAGAAAATGTCTCTACCTTCCCCAAACCATTGACTCCCCCCAGAACCTTCATGAGCCTCATACTACAGGATCATTTTAAGCTCTTTGGGTCAGCCATAGAGACAGATACCCAGAGAAGAAAGAGAAACATCGATCTCCAGGGAACACAGAGGAGAGAGAACCTCCACGTGGTTCAAGCCCCAGGCCTCCAGGGGCTGCGAATGCTCAGGGTAAGGTAGGAGGGCTAGTTTGCATGCAGTCTTTGTCTGCTCAATCCGAGGGCACACTTGCATACACCTGGAGACGTGTTATGGGACCTGGGGTTCAAGTCTGAAGTCCAAAGCAGAAAAGAAGCCAGTGTACTCAGGTGGGAAGCGAAGGCCTGGCTTCCTCAGCGATGGGCCTAGGAAGCCTGGGAATCACCTGCTCCTATGCTGCATGGGGTTTGCCCTGAACACTGGCAGGGACTTGACTAGGCAGCACAGCACAAGACTGGGGAGTGAAGACCCCGAATTTGGTGGCAGGACCAACATAAGGGGCAGAATAACAAGACCAAAGAAACAGTCATCATGGGTTTGCTTTCCCTGAATCTTCTTTTTTTTTTTTTTTTTTTTTTGTTGTTGTTGTTGTTGTTTTTCGAGACAGGGTTTCTCTGTGGCTTTGGAGCCTGTCCTGGAACTAGCTCTGTAGACCAGGCTGGTCTCGAACTCACAGAGATCCGCCTGCCTCTGCCTCCCGAGTGCTGGGATTAAAGGCGTGTGCCACCACCTCCCGGCTCCCTGAATCTTCTGAATTACCTTACAACACTCTTGGCAGATTATCTCAGAAGCTCCTGGTAGCTTTCTTTACACGTACCTGGTCTGTGGGTGTGTAATCAACCAGACTGACGCTGTCAATCCTTTCCAGGAAGCTGCAAAGAAAGGCAGTACAAGGTCAGGCTGATTCTCTGGCCCTTCGTCCCTGTGCCTGGGCTATGTTAATGGGGCATTTGCAAGGGGACAGTGAGGACAGGCCTAAATTCTGCTATGTATCTGTCTCAAGGGGAGGCCAAGGCCTGCATTCTGTTTGACTTTGAGATTCTGTTCTTTCACCTCTGCCTTCCTTCCTTCTTCCTTGGTCCTGGAAGGTTAGAAGTGGCTGCTTTGAAACTGGGAGGGGGGATTAAGGCCCCACACCTGGCCAAGCTGATAGGAAAAGGAGCTGCAATGTTAGTACAAAAACAGAAAGCAACAACGTTCCTAAGAACAAAAATATGAGTATAAAAGTCAGCAGGTTTGCATGAGTATGGCTGTATGTTGTATTTATGTTTGCATGTGTTTGTGAGAAATAGAGTGTGTGAACGATGGTGTGAGGGCGTGGAAGGATGCGCGTGCTTGCGCGTGGGTGAGACAGTGTCTGCAGATTTCATCAGCACAGGCCCAGCTGCTGTCAGTGAAGCTCAAGGGCAGGATGGTCAGAACTGCATAGGATGTGGCAGGTGAGTCAGCAGGGAGATGTCTTCCGGATCTGTCCTGTTCCTCACGTAACAGGCCACTTCCTCCTGTTCTCAAGGTGAGACCCTGTTTCAGACCGGCCACCTCCACGAGGCCTGGCTTTCCAGGTCCTGGCACTTGTCACACACTGGCGTTATTTATATCTTTTCTGTCTAAGTGTAGGATACGGAGCAAGGGTCTTCATCCTGGAGACTCTGGGTCCCTGGCATCAGTGCAGTGCCCTGTCCTTAGGAAACATCCTTGGAAGGAACACACATTCATCCCTCCTTCACCTGAAAGGGCAACGAGCAAGGTCCCTGACAGGAAGGGCTGGAAGGAGCTAAACATTAAATATGAAGCTGTTGGCTAGAGTCAGTTAGCTTAGGAAGCAACCAATTTAAAACGGTGCACGCAGGGTGGAGCAGGTGGGTGCGTATACTTGGATGATGATTATTACAAGTAGAAAGAGTGAAATATGGCTGACAAAAAGTCATATGAGGTTCCTGAGGGATGTAGTTAAACACTGCCTTCCAGAGGAAATGGTGGGAGGGAAGGGGGGGGGGACCTTCCCGCAGCCTGTCCAAGTTGTGAGACTGAGAGGCCAACGAAGGGGCGAAGGTGCCCTCGTCTTCCCCGACTCTCTGCCCCAAGGTGGTTTCCAAATTCCGGGCAGCTCTGACCCCTGCCCTCCAAGCAACCTGCAAAAGTACTTCTTCAAGCTAGGGCTTGTACCTAATGGGAAGAGGTTTTAGAAGGCTTTTCCAAAGTCAGAACAGTCTCCCTAAGTGGGATTCTTCAAGAGCACGAGGTCTGGCAACTAGCCACACCTGTTGACAATAGCCTTGAGAGAGCAGAACTCTTGATTTACAAGGACGCGGGGACCTTCGTTTGAGTTACACGCGTAAGAATCTCGAATGAACTAAAAACAAGTCCCAAATTCCCTGATCTTTGGCCTCCTTGGGCTTCCACAAAAGCCACAGAAAACTCCAATTGTATAAAACCACCTGTGCTGTGGACACTAAGCCCCCTTAGTTGTGGCCATGAGCCTGGTGCTGTAATTTTGTAATTTCAGTTACTAGGGAGGTTGTGGCAGAGGAATTACAAGTTCAAGGCTGGCGTTAGCTACAAATGGGTTCAAGGCCAGCTTGGAAATTTATTGAGATTCTATCTCAATAAATAAATAAATAAATAAATAAATAAATGGAAGGGGACCTGCAGAGTTAGCTCAGTGGTAAATGCTCACGTAGTATATTGGAGGCTCTGGGCTTAAACCCCAGCACATAAAACAATTTGCCCCCCCCTCCAACCCCCACCGTCTTTGCTATTTTCTAGTTTTTCCTGCTACAGCTGAAGGTGTGAATGCTGGCAGGACTGTTCTTACTAGAATAACTCAAAAGTCTGTGGCCATGAAGATGATCAAGAAGTGGGGAGAAGGATAGCCAAGGAGAGGTTGTGGGTATCCTTTGTCGTTAGCTTGCTGGACCTGAGGAAAAGCATCAGCTTTCTGTCATCCATCCACATTGTAAATAATTTCTTTGTGGAAAAAAATAAAAAGAGCAAGCTCTAAGTGCTGAGGGAAGGAAGAGATTTTCCTCTGAATCATGGTACTTACTGATGAGTAAAAATACTCATGTGGTGAGAGAGTCCCGGGGTCTGGCTTGGGCTCCCTACACTGTTGGTATGATTTTGTCTTTCTAGTGTTTTATAAATGCTAAGAAAATTTGCTCACATTGAAGTCAGGAAACAACTAAGCTGCCTTTTTTTTTTTTTTTTTTTTTAAGACAGAGTTTCTTTGTAGCTGTAGCTGTGGAGCCTGTCTTGGATCTAGCTCTGTAGACCAGGCTGGCCTCCAACTCACAGAGCTCTGCCTGCCTCTGCCTCCTGAGTGCTGGGATTAAATGTGTGTGTACCCAGTGCCCAGACAGAACACAGCTCTTCCTTACATCATTGTTCTCTGCAACAGGGACACACAGACTACCCTCCTCTGCAGGGCATGTTTCCTTCCTGTGCCAGTCAAACCAGCACGAAGAATGGAAATTGCGCAAGATGTGTGTCACTGGACCAAAGTAGAGATGGAGGACAAATGACCCCTTCCTTGTGCCTATACCTACTGAGGTTCCCTTCCCCCTCCAGCCTTCCCAGGACCCCTACTGTGTGATACAGTTGAATTCTGCAAGGTTGCCCTATCATAGGACATATGCCTGGTCTTCATCTGTCATGACGTTAAGTACCCGATAGTAGTGAGCACTCCCCGGCTGTCCCTCTGTGCAGTGGGTATAGGCAGTGTGTCAAAGAAAACATTATTGACTGGAATGTGGCTGAGGGGCTGGGGCATTATCCTAATCAGTAAGCTTAGCACTCACCACCCCCATCCCCAGCAAAGCTCTTCCTCCAAGGAAGCGGTCTGGAAATGTCATCTATAAATGACTTGAGAGTGAGAAGACAGAGTGTCTTGAGCCTTTCTGCTCATCCTCAACCTACTCCCCTCCCTGCTAGATCCCTGGCCTTTCCTGCAGTTTACAAACAAGTTCCTTGTCAATGATCCCTAACCCCCTCTTCTCCACTTTCACTCTCTCCCTTCTTTGTGTTTTCATGGACCTGGGAATGGAAGTTAGGACTTCATGCCTACTAGACAAACACTACACCGAGCTACGTCCTAGCCTACTGCTTTCTTCATAACAAATTCTCATTAGGTGGGATGGTTTGGAATACAATCATGACACCCTCTGATAGCTGGAGCTAATGACTACCACTGTTCATTAAATGTTTAACTGCTAAGCATTGCTCAGCACTTTCCATAAATAAACTCATTTTATCGTCACACCTAGACACTATTAATAACTCCAGTTTTCCGGCAAGGAAACCTGGGTATGGGAACTAAGTAACTCGGCAGAAGCCACAACTCTGGTTAAATGTTAATATCAGATTCCATGACACCCGCAGCAGCAGTAGCAAGTTAATCCAATACAGATAACAAGAACAAAGAAATCCCAGCACCTGAAGTTTGAGGCAGGAAGATACGAAGTTCTAAGCTAGCCCGGGCGTGCTATTCAGTGAGAATCGGTCTCAAAAACCTAAACACAACAGTAACAAAACAAATGATCATTACTTATCCTAGAAAAATAAGTCGACAGAGCAGGTGTTCCCTTGAGAAGACTGAGGAGTGTTGGCAATTGCAAGGTTGACGGAAGGTGGGGGACAGCCACTGAAAGGACCTGCACGTAGTGAACTCCAGCTAGGCCACTTCTCAGTGTGGCTGGAGTCAGCAACCATGTACTATCTACAGCATCTTGGCACAGGAAGGCTGACGTTGTCCCTGGCAGGTACTTTCCTCTCCCTGAGTAATGAATGCAGTGCCCCATCACCTGCTTTTTCTCTTCCATGGCTACCCTGTAACTCAACATGATCTAACACTTCTACCTCCTAGGCACCTGTTACTGCAGCAAGTCTTTATCCTGTTCCTGAGACTCTCACACAGCTGGCTCCTTGGCGCAGGATAATTTGTGAGGCCAGACCATCTGGGGACTCTTTAGAGACTGGCCTCAGCCCCCATTCCCACTTACATACACATCTGTCCACCTAGATGCTTGAGTCAGAGCCTGAGGAGTTAGTTATCTCAGAGGCACCTTAACCACATCTGTATCCAACACATCTGGAAGGCTTTCCCGTCCTTTCCATATTTGAGTGGTGGTCTGCAGGGTCTGGTTTAGACTCTGTTGTAGATATTATCTGAAGCTGTGTTACTTTTGTTTATGCTGTGGAACACTTTTCTGAACGACGTAAAGATGTGTTGCTTTTGTTTATGCTGCATTTGTTTAACTCTGTGAAGCTGTGATTCTTTGCCTGTCTAAAACACCTGATGGTCTAATAAAGAGCTGAATGGCCAACAGCCAGGCAGGAGCAAGGATAGGTGGGACTGGCAGTCAGAGGGGATAAACAGAAGGAAAAATGTGGGAGAAGGAGGAAGAAGGAGAAAGAGACCAAGGAGAGGAGGACACTAGGTGTCAGCCACCCAAGTAGCCACGGAGTAAGAACGAAAATAAGATATATAGACGTTTAGGAAGGAGAAAGCCCAGACGCAAATTGTAGCTGGGATAATTTCAGTGAAGAAAAGGTGGCTAGAAACACACTAAGCTAAGCCTGGGCATTCCTAAGGAAGAATAAACCTCCATTTGTGATTTATTTGGGGGCTGGGTGATGGGTCCCCCAAAGTCAAAAGAGTTAAAAGAACTTAAAGAGGGGGCTGGAGAGATGGCTCAGTGGTTAAGAGCATTGCCTGCTCTTCCAAAGGTCCTGAGTTCAATTCCCGGCAACCACATGGTGGCTCACAACCATCTGTAATGAGGTCTGGTGCCCTCTTCTGGCCTGCAGACATACACACAGACAGAATATTGTATACATAATAAATAAATAAATATATAAAAAAAAGAACTTAAAG